AGTGGTGGAACCAGTTTAGATAGAATTTTGAGCTGTGGGTTTAGCTCAGTACAGCACATGCTCAACATATGCAAGGCACTGCGCTCAACCCTCAAAACAGGAAGGGAGAGAGGAGGAAAGAACAAAACAAAAGGAAAACAAAATAAGAAATTTCATGAGCTTTCCATATATTTCTTAGTCTCAGGATATTCCACCTACCCTCCTGCACAATAATGATAAGTCCTGTTACATTCTGATTTATCTATTCTGTACACTTACAGTTGTCTCTCTTTATCCATGGTTTTGCTTTCTTCAGTTTCAGCTGCCCACTGTCAACCATCATCCAAAAACTATGATCCAAAATTAAATGGAAAATTCTAGAAATAAACAATACATAGTTTTAAATTGTTGCTGTTCTGAGTAACATAATGAGATTTCAGGATCCACTCTGTCTCACTTAGGATATGGCTCACTCCATTGCCCATTATGTCTACACTGCATCCACTACCCACCCACCCATCAGTAGTTGGCTTGGTTATCATATCTACCATGGAGGTACTGCAATGGTTGTGACAAGTAACCCTACTTTACTTAATCATGGCCTCCACACACAGGAGTAGTGCTGCTGGCAGTTTTATTACAGCATATTGCTATAGTACTTACTCTTCTTTTAATGTGGTGCTGGAGATCAACCCTAGGTACTTGCTAGGTGAGTACTGTACGTCTGAGCTATATCCCCAGTTTGCTATTAAAATTATTCTATTTGATTATTAGTTGTTGTTAATCTTTGTCTAACTTATAAATTAAACTTTATCACAAGTATGTATATGTGTAGGAAAAAACATAGTATAGATAGGTTTTGGTACCTTTTTCAGTTTCAGTCATCCACTGTGGAGCTTGAAATATATCCCCTTGAGTGGCAGGGGACAGGTGGGGACTACTGTAACTGCTGTTTACTTCATTCCAACACTTAAGACAGTGTCCCTAATCCCACAAGCCAAATACATGTCAGCAATCATACTAGAAACAGGGAACTGTGAATGACTTACTTCAAAATCAATGCACTAGAGACAAAATAAAAACACTACAAGGTATACAGCAGTGGTTCCAAACCTATGGCATGTGTGTTATTGTTTTTCTTTTAAAACAAATGATGTTAATGTATGGGTTGTTTTTCCTAAACTAAAACCTCAGTATTCAGGTTTAATTGCAGTGTTAGCACTTTGCAATAAATAAGTTTTGGGCTACAGTTTGGACACTTGGTCTCTAAAAGGTTTGCCATCATTGGTATATAGCATTTACTGTAGTAGTCAGTGACATCAATTATTGCTGCATAAATAACTTTGACTTGTCTCTATTAAAAGGACTACTGTCAACTGGGAAACTTGTCCAAAATAGTGAGGCTGAAACAAGTGAGTACTTCTACTATTCCTTCATCCTTTCTGTAGTTTGTTTGAGATGATAATCAAATGAGCTCACTGATTCTTTGGACATCCTTCTGTTTTTAATATATTTAATATAATTTATTTGGTTTTAGAATCATTTACTCTCTAAGTAATTTTTTGGTTCACCTGCTATCTCAGTTGTCTCTAATTTTACATACTGTCTTAATTACTTTCTCATCACTGAAACACAATACCCAATACCCACAACTCCAAGAATTTTGGCTCACAGTTTGTAGAGGTTTCAGTCCATAGTTAGCTGGCTCCAAGACAGGGTGACATGGCAGAGGAGAAATAGCTGGCGGCATGACAGGCAGGAAGTAGAGTGATCCAGGGAGAAGGGCGGGATATTTACCCTTCCAAGGCATGCCCACGGTGACTTGCCTCCTCTAAACAGTCTTCACCTCCAAAATCACATTTAGTTATAAGCTTATCAGTAGACTAATCCACCCCATGATCCAATCACCTCCCCAAACCCTACCTAAGACCACAAGAGCCTTCGGTGGGACATCTAGATACTATATAATCCATAACACATACTTTGTGAGCTTTTAAAATTTATACTTAATCTTTCTAAATGTAAAATGTTAATGTTGAGTCATTCACTGATAGGCACAAGTTTCTTTAGTAGAAAAAGCTCAGGGCTGGGGAGGTAGCTTAGTAGTAATGCCTAATGTGTGCAAACTCCTGGGTTCCTTTCCCAGCAAGGTGGGGGGACTCAAATATTAGACAATATAACTGATCTTCCCATCTCCATCTGTGGATGTGTTACCTTACTGTATATTATACCCTACTTCTAAATGTGTAGACTATCCTGTATATACTATACAGTAGTACTCTTGAGAGCCCTCTAAAATGCTCCTAGATCTTAGCATTTGTAAAAATCCTACTCCAGAAGGTGTAATACAATTATCCTACAATTATCACAATTCAAATGATATTAAAAATGTAAAAAGATCAATTTATAAAAAATACCTCCTACTCATGTCCATTTTCATTCATGTCAGTTTTCACCTATTTCATCCATCAGGATGATCATATTAAAAATGATGAAAAGCATGATAAAATTTTTGAAGAGAGGATCTGTTCTTTCTTAAGGAAACATACAGAGTGGAGTTCTTTCTGATTTGCACAGCTGAAATAATAAGGGCAAGAAGAGGAAGGCTCTGGGTTCTACCCCCAGCATCACACACACACGCACACACACACACAAACACAAATAAAAAAGAAAAAGAAAGAAAAAATGAAGGGAAATTAAAAGAATACTGTAGAACATAAACTGTGAGATGTGAAGAAAATGGGTCTTTTGGAGGAGAAAAATAGGTCATTAGGCAGATGATGAAGACCCATGGATAAAAATGAATGATGTGAAAGGATATGAGGCAGGAAGGCAGGGGACAGCCAAGCTTCTGGAGGAGTAAATGTGAACAGATTCCAGGACGCATGCCCCAGATAATTTCCAAGGCTCCATGTGCGGACTTCTCATGGGTTCCCTCAAGGTATGGACAGAATATAAGGACACAGATGCCATGAGGAGCTTACTGTAATGGGTTTTCCTCACAGTATCCCACCCTGTGTCTTCCAGGGTGTACTTTTACAGTGGTACCTTGGTTCATGAACTTAATCCTTTTCACAATTCTGGTCGCAAACCAAACTGGATGAGAACCGAATCAAATTCAATGATTAGGTGCAACACTGGCCTTATGGGGAAATTTAATTCAGTTCTGGTCCAATTTGGTTTGCAACCAGAATCATGGACAGAATTAAGTTAGTGAACCAAAATACCACTGTATCTTGCTTTTTTTTTTTTTTTTTGCTTAAATTCTGTTATTGGTACATTTTAGGTATACAATATATTTACATTTATCATTGGGTGCTTGTACCTGTACATGATGTATCTTGGTTCTTATTTTTTCCCCATTACCTGTGCTCCCTTCACCCCTCCACCCTTCTCTATTTACATAGACTTCATTTCCATTTTTTTTTTCTTTTCTCATAATTTTTCCTTCCCATTCTTTCCTTTCCCCATCTCCTCCCACCACCCCTACCCCTTTGGATCTTTTCCTATTTCAAAGTATCAATTATTAGTTATTAATCCTTTTAATCCTTATTTACACTTTCAGTTTCTCACACTAAAGAAACTATTCGGTATTTACCCATGTGTGTCCTATTTATTTCACTTAAAGAATATGGCCTCAATATGCATCCATTTAGCTATGTATCTTGCTTTTTAATTTTTCCTCTCTTTTGTTCAGCCGAAGTTCACTCTGCAGAGCCAGTTTGTCACTTACCATCCACCTTGACTTTTTCAAATAAACTCTGGCACTGCTTTTTTTTTTTTTTTTTTCTTGCTGTCTCGTTCTTTGTTCAAGATAAGAAGAACCTAGAAACCAAGAGGCAAGCACCCTCAAACCCAGTAACATTTATTTGGCAAGCCATTTCTAGAAGGAGCTACTCAATAACAGATACACTCAGTAACCCATTCAGCCCATAAAACAAGAGGTGGCCAATGACTGCACCAAACATGAAGCCTACCGAGCTCCCTGGAAATCTACTGTACACCTCAAGGCTTTATGGAAAAGCACACTAGCTGGTACTGCTCTTCTAACATAAGTTCTTCTGACAGAAAAGATCTAGAATTAAAAATTTTAAAAAAGATAGTGGCTGCCTGTAGCCCCAGCTACTCAGGAGGCTGAGGCAGGAGGCCTGCTTGAGCACAAGAGAAAAGGCCATCATTAGCAACACATGAGACTATAGAGGGAAAAAGGGAGGAGGATAGAGGTCAAATATAACAAAAAAGTCTTTGGGGATTCTGAAAAGCAAATAGAGCTAGGGCCCATCCATGAAAAAGTCCCTTAGGGTGAGGACTTGCTCTGCAACTAACAATTTTGTTGGTGCAGAGTGAGGGTTAATGTATTGCTTATGACCAACACGACCATGCCCATGAGTTTCAAGTATCTTTGGCAGAAATTTGCCTAAGTTAGCCAAGATAGTAGTCTAAAAAGGAGAGACATGTGCTCTATTTCTTGGATTCAAAGAGTTTTACTTATAAACCAGGTACGGTGGCCCACGCCAGTAATCCCAGCACTCTGGGAGGCTGAGGTAGGAAGATTACAAATTTGAAACCAGCCTGGGCAATTTAATGAGACCCTGTCTCAAAATTTTCAAAAAGGGCTGGGGTGTAGCTCACTAAGGCCCTGGGTTTAACACTCAGTACTGAAAAAAAAAGTTTCACTTATAAAATCCTATTTTACTAAGTTTGGTGTAACTTCCAAACCAGCAATCAAACCAATCTTCCCTGAATTTCTGCCCTTAAATTTCTCTCTCTGCTTCTTCCTCTTCTTTGGAGGACATGAACAGGAGTCTTAAATGTAGTGTGGCAAAGAAATAGGCTGCTGACCAAATACCTCCTGGGTAGAATGCCGTGGCACAGGTCAGTGCAAGCCTTGCAAACGCTGGATGAGAAAGTATCAGTGTGACAAGAACGAATGGCATCAACTCTGGGCAGGTGCATGTGCCCTGCACGGTGACCTCTATCCACCTCTATTAAGAGAATACATAGAATAATTGAGGGTCAAGGGTCACTTCATTCCTAGAATTGTACCAGTAGAGGGTTTTTTGTTGTTGTTTTTTGTTTGTTTTGTTTTGGTTGCCCCTCCTCATCCTCTCTGCTTTTAGGAGATCTTGAAGAAGCCTCATATCCAGGAGCGATGTGCAGTTAGAGAAAACACACCAAAACTCAAAGTTTGTTGAAACAAAAGAAGCTACTGTAAGAGTCATGGGGCCGGGGAATTTAGCTCAGTGGTGCCGCGCTTGCCCAAGTGCAAGGACTTGAGTTTGCTCCTTGGTACCAGAGAGGGTAAAAAGAGTCATATAGAAGGCTAGTTCTGGTAGTGCATTCACACCTGTGATCCCAGCACTCTGGGAGGCTGAGGAGGATCCCAAGTGTAAACCCAGCCTGGTCAAATTAGGGATTTAGCAAAACCCTATCTCAATACAAAAGAATTTAAAAAGGACTGGGGATTGAGCACAGTGGGAAGGCCCTGGGTTCAATCTCCAGCATCACAAAAAAAAAAAAAAAAAAGTAAGAGAGAGTATTCAGTCACCATGTTCCGGCACCTTCACGTTTCGACAGCATTTCTAATTAAAAAGTCATTTTTAAAACATCAATAAAAAAGCAGCTGCCACTAGTTCAGGCGCCCTAAGGCTGTACAAAGAAGACCAGGCTCCATCTGGACCTGCAGCAATCCGGCAATAAGGGGGTTGGTGGCTACCCCCCTCCCCCAAAGAAAAATAAACTCTAGGGGAACTGTATAAAATGCAACACCCTGACGTTTTGAAGACGTGTCATGTTCAAGCATGTCCTCTCCGACGAGGCCGGCTTCGAGGCCTGCTTCGTCTCTCCTCTATTCCCATTCTGGGCCTCACCTCAGCGTAGCGCGCTATGCCCCCTCACTCAGCCCAACTTCACAGGTCTGCGCCTGGTCCTGGCGACCCTCATGCAGGACGAGCGCAAGGCCAGCTGCCCTCTCGCTGCACAGGCCACTCAGCGGTATTGGTTATGGGGGGCAGGACCTCTGACCGAGGGTGCGCCTGGCCTGGCTATCGCCGCCTGGCTTCACCTCGCAGAACCCCCCTCGCCAAACCAGCAGTCGGGTGCTGGCGGCTCCCGGGCGTGGCGCTGCATCACCCCGCGGCCCGCCTCGCCGCCACCTTCGACATGCTGGGAAGCGCGGCGGCGGCAACTTTGCAAGTCGTGTCTCCCGCACCGCGTCCCCAGGCCTTGCGCTGGTCGCGTTCTCGGCGCCACGTGGAGGGCTCTCGGGCGCGGCTGGGCTTGCGCAGTGCGGGCTGCCTGTGCCCCATCCGGGGGCTGGAGGTTCGGTGCCGAGGGCGGGCTAGGAAACCTGTGCAGGTCCCCGGGGAGCCTGGGAGGGAAACCGAAGACTCTCCTTCGGGGCCACAGCCTCACCTCGAGCTCTTGGAGCTTGTTTGGCGAGGGTTTAGCCACCTGCCCCCGCTCCACGGTGTCCGTAGGTAAGTGCGTGCAAATACTCTCAAAGCAGCCCAAATCCCTATGGGGGAGCGAACGTTTCCCCAAGTGCACAGGTCCTGGGTCCCCACGGTTTTTCCTTTCTTCACACCCCACCCCGGCCATTGATTTCTAGCCAACGTCATCCAGACACTGCACAATGGTCCTGATTTTCTTGAGGGAGGCAATTATTTTCTCCATTATATGGTGCACAGTTTCTATATTAAACTGAATGTTTATTTCTCAGCACCGGCAGAGGCTTCTGTCAAAAAGAAAGAGTAAGTGAACACAGATAATTCCATCAAAATGGGACCAAATTGTCAATTTTAATTAAAATTTCTGAAAAACTTGACCCCCACTGAGAAATTAACTGCTATTGAGGTACAGTACAGCCACCTCAAGGGTGATTTAACCCAACAAGAGTGTAAATTCCTAAGGATGGAACTAATTCAACTCTGCCTTAGAATTAAGGGAGAAATAGGATTTCTAGCCCTATCAACCTGAATAGTGGCAGTGCAGGTAGTATTGACTTCCAAATCATTACTTCAGCCAACAATAATTATTTTAATGCTTGAGATAATTAAGTAGGTCCATGAAAATTACAGTACTTAATTTTTGCTCTCCTGGCACAATGACCCTTAACTTAAAAATATCCAAAAGTATTAGTAAAACAAACTTAGTGTAAAGCTTTTACTTTCTTCTGACTCAAGTCTTCATCCTTCAGGCTCAGTTGACTTGTTGAGGGTCACACTCAAAAGTCCTGTCAAGATCAGCTGAATCACAAGGGTGTGCTAGAGGCAACACATTGTTTTCCATTTGTAACAAGATTGTGTGGCCAGAACATTCCTGTGGCTAACTGGCAGTCCTGATTACCCATTATAGATAGTCTTTATACAACTCTAGAACTCATGTTATCTCTTTGAAACAGCTCTTCCCAATTTATATAATCATGCTGTTAACATTGAGGGTGTGTCACAGGGTGGTGCATGTTTGACTATAATGGTCATACTACACAGTTTAGGGATTGCTGGAGAATTTCAAGCCATTAGACTATTAGTTTAAAGCACAATTTTTTAAAAGTTCAATTAAAGGCATTCTTTTCTACTTTAAATCGTTGCACATGCTTCCCTTAAAATTACATATCATGTCATGCACTAAAGTATCACAAGAATTGGGTGACTTCCTGCTGTGGTATCTGTTTTTAATTGGTTTAGAAGATAAGATCACCTGAGATGATACCAGCAAGGAAGTTTTCTGAATTAGCAAGTTGGAGTCAAGGAAGTCTTCCTTTGATAATGTCCTTATTTATTAACAGTCATCTATTTTTATTTATTAACATGTTTGCTGGAAATGTTTTCTGACTACTGTCTTCCTTTGCACAGGTCAGGAGTACCATCTCCTGTGAGGAACATTTAAAGAATCCTTATTAAGAGTGATATAAGCCTTTTTTTTTCCTTCATAGAAGGGATTGAACCCAAGGCCTTTGCACTGAGCTACATCCCCAACCCTTTTTAAATTTTTGAAATGTTTGAGTCAGTCTAGCTAAGTTGCCTGGGAAGATCTGGAATATATGATCCTCCTGCCTCAGCCTCCCATAGTGCTGGGATTATGGGCATAAGCCACTACAAGACAAAAATGGGCCTATTTTGAACCAGTTCTTTTTCACATTTTAGGTGTTTTTCCACTTTCATTTTACAAGTGAAAGATTTCTTTTTTATTGTTGGTATATGTTTGCAATACATAATAATTACATTCATTTTGGTGAATTGTTACATATACACATGGCATCTTGATCATTTTTACTTCCCCTCCCCTTTGCTAAGATTCCCTCTCTGTCTTCACAGAGTCTACTTCCCTGGTACAGTTGACTTTTTGTAGACTACTGTTTCTATTATGACATAAATCATCTATATATTTGTGAGGAGTATCTGAATTTCTCTGGGAGAAACAAATAGTACTACTTAAATGTGATAATTCCTGAAAATTTATTCACTGGTGTTAATTTTAAGTCCTCGACATCTACTTTTGTTGTAGATTTCTGTGCTACCCTCTAAATAATTTTTCCTTTTTGCAGCACTGAACCCAGGATCTTGCCCAATATGCTAGGCAAACAGTGTACAATTGAGCCACATCACTGGCTCATTGTGCTATCTTGTAGATAATAATGATATTTGAGACACAGAGTTTTTAAATATAGAAAAAAGACTACATGGAGGATTATTTAATATTTGTTTTCATATGTGCTCTTATTCCTTTACTTAGGTTCTCCTACCCAGCCCTACATGCACCCCTAATCCTCAACATCAAATTTTAATTTACAAGTTACTTTTTCCATCCCTGGACAACTAACTCATTGATCCTTCTACCAGACTGATGTTTTTCATTCAGCAGCCAAAATAATAGCAGGTGGCACATAATAGGCCTGAAGTACTGATTGTTGGGTGAATGTGCATTGGAATTTGTTATCAACTGCTAGGTGCCATCCCTGAGTATAGATGGTTTCTTTCTTTTTACTTTGAGACTGGGTCTTGCTAAATGGCCCACACTAGCCTTGAACCTGTGATCCTCCTACCTGCCCAAGTAGCTGGAATTACAGGCATATTTCATACCAAGCTTTGTGCTTTAAAAATGTCTAGGAGTGGATGAAAGTGGTAATGGTTAATCTTGATGGATTCGTGTAACTAGCCCGGGTTTTCCCTAACCTCCACATGACTTCTATTCCTACTGGAATTGAAGAGTGCAGTCTCCTCTGATCCTCACCTTTGTGCCTATGGTAATATCATAAGGAAATGCTTATGTCAGCAGCTTTCAGTCCTAGCTTTGCAACTTACACAAACTTTCTGGATTCATGGGGATTCTTATTGTCAGCTATATATACTTTTTTGTTTCAATGTTCCATGAATATTTTTGATATGTAAGTAGGATTGGCACCCATTGGTTTGACCTAATAACTATTTTATGTTCTCTCTCTTTCTCCCTCCCTCTTTCCCTCCCCCACCCCTTTGTGGTACTGAGGATTGAACCCAAATTGAACCTTGACAGTGAGCTACCTCCCCAGCCCACTTCTTAATTTTATATATTTGAAACAGGGTCTAAGTTGCCCAGCCCGGGATTGAACTTTCATTCCTTCTACTCTGAGAGTACTGTAATTACAAGCTAGCGCTATCACACCTGGCTGTGATTTTTTTTTTCTCTTCCTATGTTTCAAGATACGTGAAGTATAACGATAAACTGTGTTTAGTCCTTTTATATTTTTAATAAGTATTTATGTGACCCTTCACCATGTAGTATTATAGTCATTTTTTCCACCACTGTCCCTTTATTTAAACTCTCTGATAATGATTTTTGAAGAGGACTCCTGAAGACCTTTTCAGTCCTTTGTCTTAACCACTTGACAGTTTACCCCCAGCTCCACTCAGGCAGTGCAGCACTTTGTTTATATCCTCAGTGTCGCTCAGGCGGGTGTCATTTCAACCAGTCAATTCTTGTATTGAATAAAATATTATCTTATAAAAATTAATGAAAAGATATGCAATTTTTGGTCATTCTGTATTTAAATAATTGGATTAGTATGTGGTTAAACAAGTGAAATATTTTCAAGTTACCTACCCATCATTTAATAAATTAAGTTGAGACTCTTGGCTATGAAATATGTCAATCAGCTCAAGTTTCCTCTCTGTTCTTCCTGCTTCCTTTGGATTTTTGCTGTGTGGAGAACTCCTCAACCTTCTCATAGGGCTCCCTCTGCAAACCACTGGCTTCTAAAGAGATGATTACAGCTGGTGCTGGCTGTGCACTCCTGAGGAAGAATTATTACACCCACTGCATGGACCGTGCACCTGTGGGGCCAGTAGGACTTCTGGGCAGAGGAGCAGGTGGCTCTCGCGGGGAAATAGTCTAGTCCCCCTCCACCCTCAGCCTCTCCTGCATTTTTTTTTTCTTAATGATATCCGTTCTTTCTGGAGTAAGCTGGAATCTCAGTGTTGTTTTAATTTGCATTTTTCTAATGGCCAGAGATGTTGAACATTTTTCATTTGTCTTTAGCTGCTGGGTTTCTGCTTTGCCCAGAAAGCTGTGCAAGTAAATGATGCTGCTGAATCTGCTGCCAGTGAATGATAAAGGCTATATCTCCAGAGGTGTCAGTGCCTAAGGCTTGTGAGGGAGATGTCAAGGGCTGGTGTGATGGGAATGAAGGTTGGGATAGAGAAAAACACTTGTGCAACAGATAAGGTGTATAATTGTGAAGGCCCTGGAGCTCAGGGTCTGTACAATTTGGAGACTTTAGGGGGCTAGGAATGGGCCCAAACCCCTAAAGCAAGAACATTTATGGGGACCTGCAACCTGCCGTCAGAGCTCCCTCCAACAAGAAATTCTAGTTGCACCCACTGCTCAAATCCTTAATCTGAAGACCAGGAACTATCCTTTGCACTCTCCATCTCCTTTTCCTGCTATTCTCACCCATTTCCTGAATTCTCCTTTTTCTTTCCTCTCCCCTATCCATAATGTGTTCATAAGAGGAAAGTATTTTGCAGATCTCAGAGAATTAAGCTAGCCTGTCACATGAGGCTAGAACTATTGGGAAAGATTAGACCCTGAAAGTCCCTGAAGAAATGATCAAGGCTAAGCTTACCTCTAATTCCCTCTGCTCCCATGGAGCAAAGCCAGATATGGCTACTTGACAGCTCCCAGCTGATAGCAGTAAATCTAGGACCCTGTGCCCTGCCTCTATGGTTACCACCCCCCAACACTAAGTATCCAGACCTTTGAAAGAACAACTTTGTAGCCAGTATTCTTTGTACCCAGGATTCTATGCATGACTGTGGAACAAGACCACACCCACTGGTCGGACACTGGATCAACGCATCTACACCAGTGTGGACAACCCTGGTCACTCTTTCATCAAGACTTTGGGCATGGTGGCTGGAAATGAGACCTGTGAGGTAGGGGGCCCCCATAGTCTCCCTACTGACTCAAGTCATCTTCCCAGTACTGTAATTCCAGTTTATTCCCCCTAAAATTTTTTCACTTTCTCTCAAGACTATTGGACCATCCATAATGAAGTTTTCTGAACCAATAAAATTGATCCATAACTCAAGGTTAGGGAGGGATTTCCTTTCTGTAACCACCTCTCTTGACTCACCTTCAGATGTTTGCTGACCTGTTTGACCCTGTGATCCAAGAGTAACATGATGGATATGACCCCCCAGATGTTGAAGCACACCATTGACCTGGATGCCATAAGGCAGGCCAAGTATTCTACTTCTGATTTGTGTTGCTGTATGCAACATTCTGTTGTTCCAGTCCCTATACTTTGATTGTTTCTTGACTCATAGTCATTATATTATTGATGTTGATGGAGGGAAAGAATCATATTTTAAGGAATGGCAGAGATGGAGAAGACAAGGTAGATGAAAATGACCATGCCCTCAGGTAGGAAGTTTGGGGAAAAGTCCTCAGTGTCCTCTTCAGTTAGAGTGCTTGTCCAGTGGGCCCCTCCTTCTATTGCTTGTACGAGGAAATCACCGGGAGCCCTCTGATCCCTAAGATCTCTCTTTCCCCAAGAACCCACATTTCCACCCTGAGGGTTTCTGTGACTTATATTCATTTTCCTTTTTCCTCAGATGCATTCTGGCTCCTCCATGAAAGGCATTTATTGTCCTCAAGAGTCAGAACTGGCTGAAGTACCTGGTGACTCAGTCTGCTTGCAGCCTGCATTTAGGCAGAATGATGAGAGGTGGAAGGTGTTGTGTGGACGCACTGAGTAGCCTAAAGGGTGATCTGGCTGGACATCACTGCAGGCTAAGTGAGATGACAGAGGCTGAGCAGCAGCAGTTTGTTGATGAGAGGGGCCTTGAGAGCGAGCCAGGTGGGGAGAGCAGATGGTAAAAAGGGCCACAGGAAAAGCTGGGCCAGAAAAGATAGATGGGCTCTGAGTGGCCCAGTGGCCACCAAAAGGATTCTTAGCCCGAGTCGCTTTGCTCTCCCCAGGACCACTTTCTGTTTGATAAGCCCACATCTCCATGCTGACGACAGGAGGAGTGGATCAAGACTGGCCAATGTTACTTACATATGAGACTGCTCCTTACCTATTTTATTCTCCATGCCGACAAAAATTCTTTTTTCCTCTATCTCTCCCAATTCTTGTCTTGCCTCTTGATCACTTTACCTCCTGGCCCCAGGTAGATCAATGAGAAGAGCTTCTTGATCTGGGTGAATGAGGAGGATCATAAAAGGTCATCTCCATGGAGAAGGGTGGCAACATGAAGAGAGTGTTGGAAAGATTCTGCCAGGGCCTCAAAGATGTTAGAGAAAGGTGGTTAGGGGAGCTAGGAGGGAGGAAATAAGGAAAACCAAAGAGCAGCTTAGATGGATTGACTCTATCATTTTGATAATCAACCAAACTGGAACATTTCTGATAGTAAAAAGAGTCACTGTTAATTAATCCAAGAAATGGGGATAAACTAGGACTGTCCTGGGAAAACTAGGGCATATGATCACCCTAAAAGAGAGAGAAAGAATGGCAGAAACCTAAGGATGTAAATAAAACAGTAGTCAGATAATGCAAAGAAAAAATAACAGAGGCAGCAAGCCAGTGTCAGAGGTATGTGGTATGATACAGCGGGATGCAGATAAGGAAAATGTTTGAGCCTGTATTGGTGTCTTACGTGTTGTTGTTTCTGAAGTAATCCTCTAGTTCTTTTTGGGGGGTGAGGGGATTGAGACCAGATCTTGCTATGTAGCTCAGGCTGGCCTTGAACTCACTATGTAGCTCAGGCTGGCCTCGAACTCACAGTGATCCTCTTGCCTCAGCCTCCACCCCAAATGCTGGGATTACAGGCATGCACCACCATGCCCAGCATCCCCCAGTTCTGAGCCTAGGTAAGCCTTGACTCTGGATTCTGTCATTTCTGCTGAAGTATCAAGTCAAGGCTTTAAGCTGAGTGTGAGAGACTGGGGGAGGTGGAAGATAGAATAGCTCAACTTCCAGAATGTATGGCTCTCCAAGAGTGATTCAGTCAAATCCACAGTTCCAAGCAGATTGGGTCTCCATATAAACCCAATTCTTACTGTGTATTCTCATATATACAGTTCTGTTTTGGACTTGCAAAGGAAGAGAGGCTTTAGGCTCTAGCCAAGAACATACAATTTTTGGCAACTAATAACATTTTTACCATGAGTGAGTAGGGAAGTACTTTTTAAATTATGTCTTAGTTTCCTCATCTATAAAATTGAGATAAGATCTCCCATGTTTTAGGTTGTCATGGGGGAATAAATGAAATAATGCAGGTAAAGTAATTGGTCCACAGAAAATATCAATAAGTGTTTGCAGTGTCATTATTTTTGATGGAAGGGTTTCCCTATGTTCAGCATGTAAGAATCTCCCGTCTTTCTTTCTGAAGGGTAGACAGGGTCCCCTCTATTCATGTTGAGTAGTGGTCTTTGTGTCCGCTGTTCTGGCACATCCCCTGTCTCTTCAGCTCTAATAGTCATCTGCATGGTTAGGATGATTAAGTGAAACAAGAACGCCCCTCCGGTGCCTCCTCATGCTCTCTCACAGATACCTATGATACTGGCTTTTCTGCTCTCTTCACATTTCTCTGCTTTCTCCCATATGTTCCTTCCACCGCTGACAGGAGGTTCTCTTGCCTCTTCCTGTTGCGCAGCTTACACCCTCACTTTCTGTCTCAAGGACCCTCTGCTCATTAGCAAAGCAGAGATAATGCATGCAGAACACATTGAATAATTAATTCTTTCTCAGTTCAGTTTACTACCTCTGTTCATTTCCCTAGATCATTCTTAATGCATCCATCCCTCAAGTTTCTTTGTATGCATGATGACAATAATAAACTATTTTCACCAAAAAAACCCCAGTATTATTCATTCACATCCAGGCTTCTCATTCTATACATATTAGATTTCCTGTGGATCTAGCTAAAGAAGGGTCCACATATCCCAAGTTTTCACTGAGAGAATCTTTGTGGACTCTGGTGCAGCAGCTGATCCAGGAGCATAGCTGGGAGCTCATGTGAAATGAGCATTTAGCATATGTCTTCACTTGTTCATCTAAACTGCACACTGGACTTTGGGTAGGAGTATACACCAGACTGCCCCTCCTCAACAAAGTAAAAGATCTCTGGGCTTAGAGAGGGGTATAAATAACAAAGGGAAGTGTGGATGGGGAGGGAGAAGGAGTGGGCCCTTTGAAGACAGCCAGACACGTTGTGACTTAATTCAAAGGAAAGAGCGCTGAGCAGGTAGGAAGTCTCTCCCTCCAATCCCTTTCTCTCTCGAGGATAGCCACTTCCCAAAGATACTGAAGAGCTTAATACTCCTGCCACAGGCAGCATCTTTGACTCTCTAATTTGGGTCAACTGGGCAAGTCAGAGGTGAGAATGCTAAGGGATCAGAGTGAGGAGGGTAGGTCTAGGGGGGCTGAGGTGTGACAGTGAGAGAGCCCCAGGAATGTAATAGAATTTGAAATGAAATTCAAGTTAGTGAGGAAGCGACTGGAAATGAATTTCCAGAGCCAGAAAATCAGTCAGTGCTAAAGAAACTCAGACTTTGGGAAGCAGAGATCAAGGATTAGAGATTAACCATTTTATTGACTGTGAATGGTATCAGGAAAGAGGCCAGGATATCCATATCCCTTCAACTCTTATCCACAACAAACATTAACTCTGTATCTCAGGCAGATGACTCAAAATCCCCAGACATCCTAAGCATCTCATGGTGGCCAATTCTACTTGCCCTGGACCTGCCCCTATTCCTGCCTCCATTCTGGTAGAGACTCCTTCCTATGCTCCAGCTGTCTCTGTTCTTTCTATTGGTGGAATGAAGAAGGAGCAGCCTCCAGGAAATGAAAAGAAGCAGTGGGGTTATTTATGATGGAAGGAGACTTTAAGTGAGCATGCCAGAAAAGCTGGCTCTCAGGTGGGTGGAGAGCCTTAGCATTTACCCATATTCCTCATCAGCTTCTGAGATAATTAGAATGCATTTCCATTTGTGCTTTATTCATTATGATGTAAGGTTTCTCTCTACAGAAATCTCCCTCAACTGTAAAGACAGGCTTACAGCAGGTGGCCAAGGAAGCTGATCAGTGCCAGGGCCCAGGAGGGTTGTGACCAGTACTGAGAACCCCAAGCTGAGCTTCGACCTATAACGACATAATGAATAGAAGGAACATCACAATTTTGCTCCCTAGAAGCCACTGAAAATTCAAAACTAATTCTCTGCCTGTAGACCCCCTCACTCCAGGGATCTCTGTGTGGCGGGAAGGAGGCAGTTCTAAAGGCCAAATTAGCACCAAATTAGGGCTTAGATTTTGAGTCAGGAGATGGAGGGTCAAGCTGTTGGGAACTCACTCTGCCATTCAGGACTCTCTTTCCCCTCATGTTGGGCCCATGCAACTGCTCGTTGCTGCTCAGGACTCAGAAGGGCCATTTGCTCAGGAGTGACAGCGGCAGCCTGAGCACTGGTGAGACTAGATAGCTGGGTGGGGCTGAACACCACCTGGTGGTAGAGATAAGAATCAGTGCACCCATGAGGCCCTCTGGCTTCCTGCAGTCACCTCAGACCCCAGTCTATCGAATCTTACAGCAAATTTAGGAGCAGGGATCACAGAAATGGCAAGAGGAGTCAGGCCCTGGATCTGTTCCCGCAGAAGAGCTGAAAGAGCCAGGTCTGGGATCCCAGCTGTTGAAGAAAAGAAGATGCATGTCATAGAGTGGCCTTTTCCTCTCACTTCAAACCTATTGGTCTCCAGCTGTTCCCAGAGTGTCCTGTTGTAGACCTTCCCTTATGTGCCTCTATCCCCGCACCTAAACACTTCCTCAGACTTTTACTTTCAGAAGTCCAGAGTGGTCTTCCCCCTAAGTCCACCCATGGTATGGAAAGCAAACCATGGCAACTGGCTCCATGAGTGTCCCAGCCTCCCTACCTGCTATTGTGCCAATTTCGGTGAAGATCTCAGGCCCCCAGTTACTGACCGGGCCAAAGCCACCAGGCAGCACAAGGAGGTGGGCCAGAACCTCCAGCTGTTCCTCAGAGCACTGGAGAGGCAGATTGCCCAGGAAAAGAGCTGCTTGGCTGTGGAAGAGTGGGAAGGAAGGGAGAAGAACTGAGCTTTGGGGATTGAAGTTGTGCTTATGTGACAGGGTAAGAGATGGCTTCAGATGCACTTCCTTCCATGGGATGACTCCTTCATGATTCTCCCCTCCCCAGTGAGCCTTCCTTTAGCAACCCCTGCAACCCTCCACACACACACAAGCGACCTAAATTCCCAACTGCTGATATGCTGTAGCTCCTCTGGCCGCAGACCACAGAGTGTGTGGCCCAGTGCTGTCAGGTGAATGAAGTCCAGGTGGCTGACGTGCCGACCACTCTGCCGGAGGAAACTGGAGACCACAACCCGTAGCTAAAGTGGAGGTGGGGGTGAGGGCATAGGAGAAGGAGAAAAGTCACGGGGAATTATTGGATGAGGAATTAACTAGGGGAGTGATGGGTGGTACTGAGTTAGATTCTAGGATTAGAAGACATAATATCCATGGAGGTCAAACACTTCCCTCATCTCTTTCCCAGAAATATAAAAGGAGAGAAGAGGAATCCTAAGCAAAAAAGAGGTCTCGGAGTGAATTAACCAGAGTCCCTAAGGTCACTGGTATGGGTTATTAAGATAGAAAGAATTCCTTGGTCCTTGGATAAGGCCCGGGACAGGTCTGTGGGATGGAAGTGCAGGGAGTGACAGAGGGAGGAGAGGAAATGTTACCTGGACAGAGCTCCAGCCATCTATCTGCCCCAGGGTGCTCAGCACCCCCCAGTCCACCAGGGTCAGCTCCTGTAGCTCTTGCTCTCCTAACCCTATGAAGAGCCGGCCCAGCTGCAGAATCTGCTCAGGACGGAATCCTCGGGGCGGACCCCACAACTGAGAGGAAGAGAGGAACAATGCGAATGGGAAAAGCACTGGACTAGGAGTCAGAATCCTGGGTCTTAACCTTGCCTCGGACTTAGGTGTGGAATTCTGGGCAAATCACTTGCCTTTTCTTTAATTTTCCTGAACTAATTTAATTTTAATTTTCCTAAAATGAGAGCATTACACAATAGTTGCTATGACTAAGGGGTTATTGAAAGACCGTAGAGTATCAGAACAGCAAACTCTACTCCATGAGTTCTAGACTTTTATGTGCAGCCACTTAACTGAGGTGTCTGTTAAAATGCAGATGCTGAGGCCCCAACCTGAGATTCTTGGACTGGCATGGTACCCCAGGCAACAGTATTTTAAAAACCTGCTCCCTAGATGATTTTGACACTAAAATTTGATAACTACTGCTTTAGTCCCTATACTCATGTACTAGCTCCATTTCTTCCATACTGATTCCCTCTGACCAAATCCTCTTTTTATCTCCTGTTCCCCTACCTCTCACTCAACTCTCCCTTCCCACATTGCATCTAACCAACTGCTTCATGTTTTCCCCCACTAACTGCTGGTGGCCTCTCCATCCCTAACCTTCTTTGCCTTTCCCATGGCTGCCTGTAGTTCTTCAGGCCCAAGCCCTGGATCTCCTGCAAACAGTGCCAGGCAGTCCTCAAAGTCTGAGAGCTCCATCTCTGCAATCTGGGTTGCAGACCAGGCTGCTGGGAAGGTCCCTCGGATGTCTGCACAAGTTGGTACAAGCTCTGAAGGGGAAAGCAGGTCCAGGGGTCAGTGTAGTATTAAAATATGCCTAGAGAGACATCTGTAGATGGAATGACCCTCGCAACCTTTGCAAGATGGGCAGTAGAAGCAGAGACGGTTATAGCGTGAGATTTATAGGGTTTACAGCAGTGGTGACAAATCTATGGGACACATGTTGTTTGCTTTTTTTTTAAGACAAAAGATGTTAATGTATGAGTTGTTTTTTTCTAAACTAAAACCTGAGTATTCAGGTTTAATTGCAGTGCTGGCACATTGTGATAGATAAATAGATTTGGGGTTACAATTTGGGCACTTGGTCTCTAAAGGTTTGCCGTCACTGTCTTAGAGGGTATTAGAACAGGAAGCAATTGTGGAGGCAAAGGCCTTCATTTCATAGGTGGAAGACTGAGGGGGTTGCCCATGTATTTTATGGCAGAGCTGAGTTATAAGCCAGGTTTCTAGCCTGATAATGTCTCCCTCCTTCTAAGGATCTCCCTAGCAGAGAGCTCCATGCTTAGCTAAAATAGAGCTGAGTCTGCTAAAAAGAGAATAGGAAAATGGAGTCTTGGGCTAAAAACCTAATGGACTATACTAATATGGACAAAATATCTTGACAATCATCCCAAAAGCCCAGAGAGTAGGTTTGTAAATTTGGTCAAAGGGCACAGCTTACTTACGGAGCCTAGGTTTCCCACCCCTCTGGTGCTGGGGTTCAAACCAAGGGCCTCATACATGTTAGACAAGCACTTGACCACCAAGGTATACTCCAGACCTAGAGCCCAGACTTCTGACAGCATTGTTTGATATTGTCTCCTGTACACCCTGCTGGACATATGAATATTTAGGTAGCCTCACCTGGAAGATCCTCAGCAGTTGGCCGTACAACCCCAGCTACCAAGGCTGCTTTCTTGGGAGCAAGCTGTGGTCTCCCACACAGCTGTCCGACTCTGCTCTGTTCCCAGCTTTGCTGCTTTTCTAGAAGCCGCTCCAGAGTCTCTGGGCCCAAGGCCTCCTGCAGAAGAAAGTAGGAGGATGGGAGTCCTGAACAGGATCAGGACCAGCTGCTGGAATTATAGCTGTAGCTATAATTCCAAAACCTGCCTGTGTTTAGCAGTCTTCCCCAGATCCAGGTTGTACTTTCTTTGTCCTCTTTGGCCTGAGATTGCCATAGCCAGTTCACTCACCACCACCCCCAATGCATTTACTCCCTTTATGTTTCTTCACCTTACCCTGGGAATCAAGGAAATAGCTTCAGTAGACAGAGTAAATACAAGGCGTCCAGCTTGCTCTACTTGATCCTGGCTCCACAACTCTGGTTTCCTAAAGGACAGGAAGATGATTATATGCTGGGAGCTGAGGGAACTTTGAGGAAAAGAAGACATTAGGAATGGGGATTCAGGCTCCAAGAGACATTAAGCATATGGAAGGGGCTGCCACTGATGATGGTACTTGAGGGGCTGGGTAGAGGAAAAGTTAGAATCTGAAGTTCCTAAAGGTCCATACCCAAGAGCGGGTTCCTGCAACAGGAGCCATCCCAGCTCTGTGGCAAATGTATCTCCTAGGCAGAAGCCCTGCAGCTGAATGAGATGAGACAGCAGGATCGGTAGAGGGATCCGTCGTATGCTGTCTATACCCAGGAATCCAACCAAGGGGCCCAGTGTCTCCAGCACTTCCTCTGAGATTGGGGTCTCCTTTGGAGCCTAGAGAAGGGCATCAGGTCTTAGACAATGCATCTCTGACTCAGAGTACCAGGCTTTTTGATCATGACACCAAGTCCCTTGACCTTCCTTCCCTCTTGCCCCCAATTTAACAACCTAGGATGCTTGCTACCTTTGTTCACTTTTTAAAACAGTAAATGAGCTTAGATAGGAGCAAGGCAGAAAGACTGAGATGGAATCCAATGAATTTCTCAGGCTCCAAAGGGATGGGCAAGAATCATAAGCAGGTTATTAAGGAACAGAATCTAGAGGCAGATCTAGAGGCTAGAGACGCTTATAGGTAGAAACCTGTTTGGCACCAAGAAGGAGATTGGGCCTGGAAGACAGGCAGAGATAGCTGTTTGAGGGGCATGCATTGCCAAGGGCAGCAGATCTGAGTCTGGTAGGGTGGACTCTTACGAGGTTTCGTAGTACCCTCTCTGCCAGGGCTGCCTGGTGGAGTGGGGTCAGTGCCAGCAGCTGCTCTGGAGCTCCTTGTACCAGCTCTACCACCAACATAATGGATTCATTGGACAGTATGTCCATCAATGGGATCCTGTTACCATAATTGGACAGCAGGGACACTCAGTCACAACTCAGCCAAGTTAAGAAATGACCTTAGAACCTCACATTCCCCAGGCAAGATGTAACACAAGACCCAACCCTGTGACCCTAGACTGGAACTCATATTAAACAACCCTGAGCTACTTATCACTACTTGCTTGAAGAGAGAGAAGAAAGTGACATATTTCTAGTGTTCTGAAAAGAAATAATCCTATCTGATCTAATGGACTCAAAAGCCCCAGATACTAAATACCACTAAAATTTTTCTTATCCCTCTTTCTCTCTGACTTATGGTCCAGGATCTTTTCTTTTATCTAGGCTGCTGTATTTCACTTCATCTAAACTATCTCAGAGACTCAAGATCTTTAAATTGCCTTGAATGTCATTAGAAAAACAAAGCCCTTTGGCCTACAAATCAGAGGTGGCATCATGCAGTCTATACAGGGTTGTCAATTTTGGGACTGGGCCAAATTGTACAACAGCCAAAATCTGTGTAAAGACCTATAAAAATGTAAGGATGGAGTGAACTGCATTTACCATCTCCAAATCCCCCAGAAGACTGCAACCCCAGTCTTGTCCTACTCTGACAGCTCAAATGAAATGAGGTGGGGTGGGGTGAGGTAAAAGTGAGAAAAGACACACATGAGTGAGCACCCATAAACTCCTAGACTCTCTGGGATGAAGAAGCCTTAAATTTTCTCTTTCTCTAATCCATAGTTGAATCTGCTCTACAACATTCTTGCAAAAAAAAAAAAAATTCCTGCAATGGGTCCATCTCCCTTAGGCTTGGATAGTTCCAGTGATTAGGAACTCACTACCTCCATTTTCTTTATATTGTGCAAAATTTTCATTCTAACTCAATCCTAATCTTGCCCTATGGACCCAGTACTGTCTATCTGACAGGCCCTTGGGGATTTGAATGCATTTATCACATTTTTCATCATTTTCTCTTCATCCATTCATCTGAACACACATAGAACACAGCACTCTAAGCAGACTACAATCTTCTAGGGCAGAACTGGACCACTTCCTCCCTTATCTCATACTATGTCTCTATGAATTTGGCCTGGGTTATATTAAGATTACTTGGCAGGCCACAGCACTGTTGCCACCCTCTGCTGTCCTGTGCCAAGGTTATTTGAATAGAAGCCCCCACTTTAGGCTATCAGTGATGTCCAGGAGCCACCAGACAGGGAATTGCCTCGGCTAGGGCATTTCCTAAGGGCAGATCTACTCTAGATTGAGCTTAGAGAGGATCCAGTATCTCCAGGTATAGCATTTACGGTAAATCCAGGAGTAGTTTGGTGTCAAGTCCACTCAGTTCCGGCCCCAGGGTTGTCAATTCTGGCTCTGGCATTGCCATCCTCCGCTGTAGTTCTGCCCAGATACAGGCCCTCTGCAGGACAGGGTAGGAAAGCAGGGTCAGGACAGAGCTGGGCAGGAGGGTAGGGTTCTATACCCAGGGTCCCGGCCTCCCTGCTCCCACTCATGCCCAAGTACCCCCTCTTACCAGGCTCCCTCGAACCCCAGTGGGCAGTCGGTAAAGCATGTGTACCACTTCAAGGAAGTCTGCCATGGAGCTGATCTGCTGCAGAAACTCACAGGACATGCCTGCTGCCAGGTTGCTCAGAGCCCTGTGGGTATGTGAGAGGGTAGATGGCTGCAGCATGTCTGCTCCTTGATATCAGCACTCCCAGCACAAGGAGAGATGCTCATCTATTGTCATTTACAGTTTGAGGAATATTTCTACATAGACAATCTCATTGGCTTCCCAAAACACTATTGCTGTTTATCAGAGAAGGAAGTGATGTTCCAATTTCAATCTACTAGAAGTATGGTGAACTGAGACTGGAGCCGTGTCTTCAGACCCTGAAGCCCCTGGTTCATTTACAATAGGTACAGGTAAGGTGATACTTACTTATTTTTATTCTTGCTCAACCAGTGGCTCTGAAGTCACCTTGAATTAAACTAATAACAGCAAATATCTACTCGGAGTTTATACTAGGTGAGCACTATGTTAAATATCTGGGTTTTGTGTATGTGTGCTGTGGATTAAGCCCAGGGCCTTGATAATAGTTGGCAAGTAATCTGCTAATGAGATACATCCAAGCCTATTTTACCTTTTATTTTGAGATATGGTCTTGCTAAGTTGGCCTCAAACGTGCCTCAACCTCCCGAGGAGCTGAGATTACAGGTATGTGTCACCAGACCCAGTTTGTGTTAAATATCTTACATGTCTTATCTCATTTAATCTTCACAATAACTACCTGTGAGCTAAGTACCCTGTTCTCATTGTTCAAAAAAGAAAACTGAAGCTTAGGTTAAATGACTTGCCCAAGAGCACAAGCAGGTGACAGGGCTGGGACCTGAATGCAGATCTTCTGAGTCTCTAAGCTCTGGTCAGTATAGGCCTGGCACTGTGGAAAGGCAGGAGGGCAAGGGAAAGGCGAGCCAGGGGATGATGAAGAGGCTGAGACTATGCATCATCCCTGTATCCTCTGTGGCATATTAAATGGTACTTGGTACACGGTACGTGGTAAGCGCTCAACAAATGTTAGTTGGGGCTAAGGGTGTAGCTCAGTAGTAGATCCCTTGCCCTAAATTCATGAGGCCCTAAGTTCAATCCCTAGCACCACCACCAAAAAAAAAAGTTTAATTGAACTAGCTGCTCAATACAAGTTACTCACTGCAGATTCCTGAGCGTCAGGTTGGTGGGCACCTGCATCTTCTTCCAGAGAAACTGTGCCTATAATGGAAAGAAAGATGAGCCACTGCTGAGCAGAGATATTACCCCAAGGACCTAAGATGCCTTGGACTCAGTCCTGCCTCTCTATAATGTGCCCCCTCCGATATCACTTTCCCAATGCCTATTCTGAGAGATTGAGAGGGAGAGAGACATCATGAGGGCTTCTGGGGAGAAGGCACCAGTTGGGCAGGGGATGGGTAAAGGAAGTTGAAGAGACAGAGAGCGAGTTCTGAGGGATGAAGTGAGACAGTTACCTGCTGCTCAGACCAGGGCAGCGCCCGGTAGCGCCTCCGGTTTGCCAGAAGAGCTGCAGTGTCCAGTTGTAGCAGCTTTAATGGGAGCAGGGGAAGCAGGCAGTCTGGCCAAGTG